TGCTGGGGTTGTGGCTCAGCAGTAGAGTGCTTGCCTAGCACGTGTGAGGCACTGGGTTCAATCCTCAGCACCACATAAAAAATAAATAAATAAGAAAAAAAAAGGGCTGGGGATGTGGCTCAGTGGTTAAGTACCCCTGAGTTCATTCCCCATTAAAAAAAAAAAGAAGAAGAAACAAAGAAAAGAAAACAACATTTATTGCAATGATGTATGATTCGGGCAAAAACGGGCAATTTGATACCATGTCATTGTGAAAACAGTGAGGAGAGGTCTACTGAATACACATAAAGTAGACTTCTGGGATGTTAGGACAAGGCCAGCCAATGTCATTTTCTGAAACTGATGTTAAAACAAGACAAAACTCCAACCCTAGATGCTATTAATATAGGGTTCTCAGTTGGTAGAGTGCACAAAAAAAAAAGTCCAAGGTTCTCCCTCAAAATCAGCAAGAGACTGAGAATGGTTTCAAAAATCTCAAGTATAAGGGATCAACTTAAAAGGCTAAGCAACGTAAAATCAGTTATCTGGATGTTGTATGGCAGGGAATAAAGTTTTCCCTCATCCTGACTGAGTGAATACTGAATAAGATGTGGATTGTAGAAAGTTGTAGGTAAGTGTAGAGCATTGTTTAAGGAAGTGGCCCTGAGTTCTCTGGTCATCACAAAGGCATATTTAAATATTTAAGATGCAGTCAGGGGAAACAACCCAGGTGCTACCCTTTTTCCTCTCCCTTGATTATGATTCCTTGAAAGATAGTAGTTATCCCAGAATCATACCCAGTAACCCCATCACTTATTATCCAAGTAGCTTTGTTTCACTTTCTCCAAGCCTCAGTTGCTACTGCTGTAAAATGGGTATAATAATACTTACCACTGGACTGTGGTGAGGATTCAATTTACTAGCTATGTGACTTTGGGCACATCAGACTATTATTACTATTTTTGCTATTATTTGTATTAATACTTCCAGTTCGGCTTTACAGGCACTTGAGTACTAGGAATGGAAGTTAAGAGGACATAAACATTTCAGGTACTGGAAAGGTATACGCTCCTTGTTAGTGAACCATCAGTGCTCTGCATTAGTCTCTTCTGAGTCAAGTTTGTTTTTTCAGTCCCTGAGTCCCCACTGGATGATCTCCGAGTTCCTGTCTCAGTGAATAACCAGTCTTTATTATCAGCATCCACCTCCCCAAATAAGAAAGTGTTTGATTCACAAAACTGGAAGTTCAAAGGCAGGTGGACACAGGATTGTAGCGTCAGCTCCTTGTCTCCACTCTCTTCCTCATCTTGACCTGCTCCCTGAGTTGACTTTACCCTAAAGTCTGAATGAGGTCTGTAGCAGTTTCAGACCTCATCCATATATGACATGACATGGAGGGACCTTTTTTCTTAATGATCAGGAAACTTTCCCTCATCTTTCATTGATATGAACTGGGTCATATGCCCATTCCCAAGCTAATCCTCATAGACTGGTATCTCTGTAACATCCAGGGGCACAAGATTATTTAAGACTGGCTCACACTCATTAGGCTCCACCCACTGGATCTGGAAGTAATTCTTCAAACCATACTTTGGCTAAACAACCTGAGAGGGAAAAATGGATGGGGAGCTATCAAACCACAATGGCCACCATCTTAAGCATAGGATATCTGTGGCTCCTTACTGCTAGAGATAATGAAAAATAGCCTTACCATGAATAACTGGCCACTCCCCAAGGACCATTTGAAGTTAAGGTCTACTCCAGTGACCTCTTTGAAACTATAGTCATATCCGGAGTAACAGGAATGCCTGGAAAAACAGGGTCCTTTTCTAAAATGGGCTTTCCGTCTGGCCAGACTCCTTGGTCCATAACTTCAGTTGATACGATCTTTGGGAGAGGTTTCCTTGGCCTTTTGTTTGAATGTTGTGCCCCCTTTATGATTCTATACATGAATAGGAAACCAGCCCTTTCCAGTTATGTCAGGACCCTGATTAATGCCTCAGTAGCAAGCATGACCCAAACCACCCTGAGCTCTGTTCCTTCCTTTCCCAGAAGGAAGCTAACATGCTCTCCCTTTGTTTGAAGGTGCTGGGTTAAAAAACACTAGCATCAGTTTTCATAGGGAGGTAAAGAGGCCCTAAAATCTGTCCTCCCCCCAGGCCTCTACTGTTTTGTTGAATTCAAAGTGAATCAGCCTGAGAATGGAAAATGCATCCAAGCTAAGGCTGAGGACAACATACCTTGATGCAGGCTGACACACTACTTGCAGAGCTCAGTGTGACACCCTGATCTGTAACATGTACATCCAAAGGCCTGCAGCTCAGGGTTTGTTTCCCACCCTTGGCTTACTTCTTGACCTGTTTTTAATTTTTCAAACCCCCATCCCTCTTGCAGAATAGTTTCAGTTCTTTGCCTGACCTCGGCTTTGTCTCCCGGGCAGGTTGCCTTGTTCTCTCTCAGCTGGCCAGGCTGGCTGGTTGCCTAATTGTCCCTAGAGACAGGAAGGCACCCTTTACATCTTTCTGCTTTTGGTCCATTTTTACTGCTTTTTTGGAGTTAACATCAAGGACTTTAAAAACATCTCGGTAAATGCAGATGTAGAAGCTAGATAGGATTGTGGTCACCTTGGCCCTCATTTTTCTTGCTGCTTACAGAGTAGGAAAATTCAATGCTGTTTTTGGACTTGACCCAACACCTTTTCTGTCCAGAAAGCCAATAACTCACTCTCCGAGTGACTTGTTTGACTCCACTGGCCATATCACATATCATATATTATAGATGATATATCACAATCATTGGCAAAGCTAACTAATGCCCAAATTGCACTCGACGTAGGTCCCAGCATCAACACTGCCAAAGGTAACCATACATTAACGTTACTGAGACATGGTGGGCTGTTAAACCAATCTGCATCATTCGAGGTGAAAGGGTGGAAGCAAGCAGACATCCAAGTTTCTTGGATTTGTATCAGTATAATTTCTTTTGGACTGTAAATACTTCAAAAGATCGTATTTTCTACATTACTTGGAATTTGTTTTTCAAATCATGTGAATATTGTGTACAGAACATTTTGCTCAATGTTCAAGGGGCTACAAGGGTTGTACGAAGGGATCCATGCCATATGCTGGTGTTCTGGAAAAAATACAAACAACCCAAGGCAGTATATGCTAAGTCAGAGGGAATGGTGTGTGACAGAAGCAGAGGACTTTATCCTTGGTTGATGTATAACAGCTTAAACTCATTTCTAAGCACTGCCCTTGGGCCCTTTCACTCAGGGCAATGACATATTCTGCGAGAGGTGGGGTGGAACACCACTGACCATCTAGAGAGAAATGAAACCTGTCATTAACCTATGGCCAATCTGCACCAAGAGTGTCCTGTTCAGCTACTGGCTTCCTGTGGTTAAAGTTGTCCTATCCAGAAGGTCAAAATAGCATGGGCCTAGTGGTTTATATGGCAGCTTGCATTCTGCTGGGGAAGGGAAGATAAATTTGGATGGGGGTGGGGATGGTGGGACCTGACCTCCCTGGGAAACACTCCGCTATATTTTGAGCTGCCTGGTCACTGAGCTTAGTGATTTTAACAGAAAACATTATTTTCTTCAGTGGCTTGTAGTGAAGTTTATACTCTGCCAAGGAAGAGAAAATAAATGTCTGTGGGAGGGGAAATAGCAGGGCCCTCCTTGGGAAGTTCTCTGCTGGTCACTCAGCTTATTAATTTTTAAAAGCGACATTATAAGGTCAGGAAGAGAACCCTGGCCTGGAAGTCAGGAAACTTGCTATGGGGTGGGCCCGCTTAGCAGATGTAGGGAGAATATCAGCCTCTGGAAATCCACAAGAGGCATTTATAACAATGATAATGACACAGATGTTACATTTTATACCACTTAGCACTTTTCAAAGCACTTTCACATTTACTACCAAAAAGTCATAGAATCTTAAGAGTGGGAAAGGACTTCATTAAGTATGGTCTCCCATCAGGCAAGAATCCCTCTGAGGAAGCCAGTGCAGCAGGTAACACCATCTCCGTTTTCTAGAAAAACTAAGGGTTTTAAGAGAGTTTAAGGCCAAGATGATCCAGTCAATGACTAACAAAATTGGCTGAAGCCACTGGTCCCAGATTCTTTCTGTGCAATCACATGTATCTTTTGTGTTTTGGGGAACAGGTTCTAGTCACTCTTCTAGACAAATATCTCACACTACTTTTGAATCTCCTGTCCTTGCTCCAACTCATCACCAATGTTAGGCTTTCTTTGGTTGTAGTAACCTGTTTGGTTACTCAAACAGGCTGAATTATCCCAGTATCAGGGCTTAAATGGGGAAACACCTTGGTATCTTATACCAGATCACCTTTATTTGTGTGTGTGTGTGTGTGTGTGTGTGTGTGTGTGTGTGTCTGCCTGTCTGTGTATACTGGGGATCAAACCCAGGGGGGCACTTAACCACTGAGCCATATCCTCAGCCCTTTATTTATTTTTTAAATTTTGAAGACAGGGTCTCACTGAATTGCTTAGGGGCTCAATAAGTTGCTGAGGCTGACTTTGAACCTGCCATCCTCCTGCCTTGGCCACCAGAGCCACTGGGATTACAGGTTTGCACCACCATGCCTAGTACAGATCAATTTTTTTTGGGGGGGGGGTATTGGGGATTGAACCCAGGGGTCCTTAACCACTGAGTCATATCCTCAGTCCTATTTTGTGTTTTATTTAGAGACAGGATCTCAATGAGTTGCTTAGGGCCTTGCTAAGTTGCTAAGGCTGGCTCTGAACCCTCGATCCTCCTGCCTCCTGCCTCCTGCCTCAGCCTCCCAAGCCACTGAGATTACAGGTGTGTGCCACCACACCCGGCCCAGATCATGTTTTTTGACAGATGAAACAATTGACTAGTCAGTTCCCTAGGTCTGATATTGCAAGTTGAGGATCCAACATCTGTTTGATTTCTCTTTAAAGTCCTAACTGGAACTATCAAGAATGGTTGTGTTGACCTTTTGTTGACCACTGGAATATATAAAATGAGACAACATTGGGTTCAATTTAATATATTTTTTTGAGTCAGAATCTCACTATGTTGACAAGGCTGGTCTTGAACTTCTGGGCTCAAGCGATCGATCTTCCTTTCTCAGCCTCTCAAGGAGCTGGGACTACAGGGATACTCCACTGCACTCAGCTTCAGTTTAAATCTTAACGTCAGAGGAAGAGTTCTAATCAGGATTGTTCATCATGAGCTTTGGACACAAATCAGCCTCTTCCAGGGGTGTTAGACTGCAATGAAAACAAGAAATCAAAGCCTTACAGGGAAATGTCCACAGGATTATCTAGTCAGCCAAAGGATGTACTTTTTTTGGAAGTTAAAATTTTAAGTTTAACGAGATATTTCCATTTAAAACAATCAAGATTTTAAATTGTCTAACACCTGGAGTTTAAAAAAAATAAACTTCTTCAGTTCCTAATTCTTTGAAACATACAGAAAAATCCTAGTTGATCAATTTCCATTCCTATATGCTCATCTCTTTTATTTTCTTCTTCTCTACAGATAGAGTCTATATTGCAATAAGCATCTCCTGACCCTACCTCCCACCCACAGAACATCTGGAAACTGTGCTAGTGAAATAGCAATGGTTTTATACAATGCTATGATTTTTATAGCTAGAAGGAAGCCCCCCTCCACTTCTACTGCCACCACCAGAGATGGGTGGGTGAGTTGCCCCACAGCTTTGACATCAAAAGGAGAGCAAGCAGTGGAATCTGGCAGATCACCCTAACCAAATATCACCCAGGCAGAAGGGGCCCAACCTGTCTGGTGAGATTCCTTCAAATATACTGTACAGTATCAAGGCTTAATTTACCAGAAAAAAAATGGAATTTACCAAGAAATATTTAAGGTAGAGTAACAAAGCTCTTGGGATAAACTTAAACATACCTTTCTAAGCTTAGACAGCATAATAAACTAATTTTAGTTTTATTATTATTATTTTATTTCAGAAACTAATTTTTTAATTTTTTGGTACCAGGGATTGAATCCAGGGCACTCAACCACTGAGCCACATCCCCAAACCTTTTATGTTTTATTTTGAGACAGGGTCTTACTAAGTTTTGCTGAACTGGCTTTGAACTTGTAATCCCCCTCCCTCAGCCTCCTGAGCTGCTGGAATTACAGGTATATGCCATTGCACCTGGCTCTAGAAAGGACATTCTATGGAATCACACCCATTTGGCCTAGTACTAATTAGACCCATGTCAGGCCCCTTAGACTTGGCACACTACACACTGATATTGACAACTGTGGCTGGGCTCCCACCACTGCCCAGTCATCCCTTATACTTTTAAGTATTCCAATCTCTCTCCTCAGGTACCCAAATCTTCCTCCAAACTTGACAATTTGGTTGTTGAAAAACTGATAGTATTTAGCTACTGGAGATGTGAAAGCCTTTCTTACCAGATGAAGTTTTTTTTTTCCCCTGACTACTCCCTAAATTATCATCTCCCACTCTGCTCTATATTTCTTCCCTTCTCACTTTCTCACTCCCACATTTACCCCTCCCTATAGACCTGTGATATCCTATTATAATAGCCACTAGCCATGTGTGGCTGCTTACATGGGAAAGAATTTAAATTAAACTAAAAATTCAGTTTCTTAATCACACTAGCCACATTTCAAGTTTTCAACAGTCATGTGTGGCTAGTGGCTACTTCATGGGACATCACAAATGGACAACATTACTATCATCACAGAAAGTTCTGTTTGAGCACTGCTCAGGGGAGTCCTCTGATTTTTTTCCCATGTCAGTATCTACTCAATATCAGGCAGACAAATGCATTATCCACAATGACAGTAGCAACATTGACGACTGTTTTACAAGGGACCCTCCTACTTCTCTAGCTGCCAGTTTTTTGAATGCCACGAAACTTTCAGAATGAGTACTACATTCCTTTCTTGGTCCTCTTCAATGTTTTATTTTGAGACAGGGTCTTACTGAGTTCTGCTGAGCTGGCTTTGAACTTGTAATCCTCCTCCCTCAGCCTCCTGAACTGCTGGAGTTACAGGTATATGCCATTGCACCTCCTTAACTTCTATACAGAAATAGTCACCAAAGACTTCTGGGGCATCCTATACCATTTTTTTTTTCAGTCATCAAACTCCTAAAATTCGTCCTCTGACCTGTTCCACCCACTTCTTGTCCCTGGCATATCACCATTGCTGAAGAAGTGCTGGTTTAGTATGATAACGTTTTCCTCCTTGATCATTCACTATTCCAGGATCTTTGATCCTACTTTTCCCTTCTGTGCCCAAATCCCAGTCCTCTGCCAGCCCTCCTCTGATGGTTTGACCTTCTCTCTTTTGCCTTTATCTACCTGCTCTATGAAAATGGGTCTCAAAAGAAGATAATTGAGAGTAATGAAAAGAAAAATAAAAGAAAGAAAATTGGTCTCAATCTCATAGCTAAAGCTGCTAATTGACCTACATGACTGGCATTGCTTCAAGAGTACCAACCAAGAAAAAGATGATTCTATTATCAATGCCCCTAGGGACACAAAGAAATCTGTTTCCCCATCCCAGCTAATGCCTATGTTTTGCAACACAGTAGAGGCCATTTAATTCCAGAAGAAGCAACCTGTCCACCCCTAAGAGTCTGTATTGTCAGGGAGAGAGAGACCTGCACGTAAAGAGTTGGGGACTTGGGGAGGTGGTAACAAAGACTACAAAATGAAAAGATGGGATGGTGTGGCCAAAGGAACTCTGCATATATAATAATCCTGCCATAATTTTTTCTTTTTGCAGGGAGGGGTACCAGAGATTAAATACAGGGGCATTTAACCACTGAGCCACATCCCCAGCACTTTTTAAATATTTTACTTAAAGACAGAGTCTCGCTGCATTGCTAAGTGCCTCTCTGAGTTGCTAAGGCTCCCTTTGAACTCACAATCCTCCCGCCTCAGCCTCCAGATGTGCTGGGATTACAGGCGTGCACCACCAGGCCCAGCGGCTGCCTTAATCTTAAAACAAGTTTTAAAGTCTCAGGATGAAAGCCGGGCATGGTAGCACATGCTTGGAAAGCCCACAGATCAGGAAGCTAAGGCAGGAGGATCGCAACTTCAAGCAGGCCTCAGCAATTAGTGAGACCCTGTCTTGAAATAAAAAAAAAAAATAAAAAGGACTGGGAATGTGGCTCAGTAGTTAAGCACCCCTGGGTTTAATCCCTAGTACCAAAAACAAACAAACAAAAAATCTCAGGATGACGTAGAAGTTCTTTTTAACTATCATCAATCTATCTATTTATTTATTAGTTGTAGCTAAGACACAATACATTTATTTATTTTTATGTGGTGCTCAGGATTGAACTCACTGCCTCACATGTGCTAGTGAAGTGCTCTACCACTGAGCTACAACTCCAGCACAACATAGAAGTTCTTTTCCTTTTCATCTCTTCTCTTTTTGTTTCAGAGTGGGGAGTGGGTTAATAATCCCTGCACTGCTTCTTTATAGAAACCTATGCAATAGATGTAGACCATAATGGAAAACCAGTCACTTTCACAAAGGCAAAATATCATGCAATAGCTGAGCATGGTGGCACACGTCTGTAATCCCAGCAGCTCAGGAGGCTGACACAGGAGAATGGCGAGTCTAAAGCCAGCCTCAGCAAAGGCAATGAACTAAGCAATGGAGTGAGACCCCGTCTCTCAATAAAATATAAAATAGGGCTGGGGATGTGGCTCAGTGGTCGAGTGCCCCTGAGTACAATCCCTGGTACCTTAAAAAAAAATCATGCAATAAGCCTGCATAAATTACACTTTGGTGTTACATGAAGGAAGGTGACAGAACGACAGTCTCCTTCCCTTCTCAAAGCCTACACATGAAGTACACTACAGCCTCTAACAGTATATGATGTCTAGAACTAATGGGAAGGGAAGTCAGAATTTTCTACCTTTTTTTTTTGGGGGGGTGACTTTCAGCATACACACTGGTCGGCTGATTAGAAAGACAAGAAAGTGGGTAGGTAGAAATATATAGCTCATTCAGCTACATGAAAATTAAAGTCATGCTGACAAGGCAACGTGCAGGAGGTTTGATTCTGTTACAGTTCAAGAACGCCAGGCCCTGACCAATGTTCTTGAAATGTAAATTCAACATTCAAAACCCGTAAGTGACACTAAGAACACTGGAAAAACAGCAGAAATTTACATTAGACAGATGTGGGAAGTCCCAAAACGCTGTGATCTTTTACAGCTACAAGGTCAAGGCAGTTTTTCACAGTGATTTGTACGAAGTTTGCTTATAAAAGAAAAACAAATTTAAGAGGGCATTTGGTTATGTACGGAGATAACCAGCATAGCAAAAATAACTCCCAAAGCGAGAACTACTTACTAGGCAATTTGAATTAAAATAATATAAAAGGCAGATTATTGGGGCTAGCACATCACTTTTTCTACATTTGAAGAAAAACAATTGTAGATAAAAAAAAAGAAAGAAAAGAGTTTTCTTTAAGAAAGAAAAAGAAGGGGCTGGGGCTATAGCTCAGTGGTAGAGCACTTGCCCCTCACACATGAGGCACTGGGTTCAATCCTCAGCCCTATATATAAATAAATAAATAAAATAAAAATATTTTTAAAAAAGAGAAAGAGACTGGAGTGAAACTGCTGTTTAAAAGAAAGAAAGAAAGAAAGAGAGAGAGAGAAAAAGAAAAAGAAAATTTTTCTCCACAAAGACGCCTTTCCCATACCATTCTGCCAAACAGATTCTGTTACTGGGTAAACATAAGCTACCAACAATTTATGTACCAATATATATAGCAAATTATAGTTGAGAGGAAGCTTGTGAGCTCATGAAACAGATGGTAGATTCGTGTGGTGGCCCAGGAAACATTGGTGTTTTGACATAATGAGGCACTGCAAGTCTCTGACAGTTTCCTAGCATGACGAACATTTTGACTTTTTTGTTGCAAAATTGGAGGAAAAGAGAATCCTGTAGAAAAGAAAGGAGGAGAAGCAAGAAATGGCATAAATGATGCTCTTTTGGAGTTGGATTATCATTTTCCAACTTTGTGTTTAAATATGATAACAGCAGAAAGTACACCAACCCAGCTCATAATGGAACTCTTAGACTTGCTATCTGGGTTGAGGTGAAATTTAGTGAGTGCAACAATTTTAACACCACTTCTCTAGCACTATAACTCATCGAAGGAAGGCTGGTCAAATAATCAGGGCTGGGAACGAGGGGACATAATCTTGTGTGAACCGTGTAATTAGAGAATTTGTCCATGATT